TTCCTGTTTGGATGGCATACATTGTAATCCCAAAGCCTGAAGGCATTAGCAGAAAATTGCAACTGGGATTATGGAGTTAAATTCCCATATGTACCTCATGCACAAACAACAACAACAACAACAACAAAATGAATTCATCAAATTAAATTGGAAAATTGTTTATTAAGTGTTACACTTGCATTGTGGTTTGATTACAGGATTACAGCATCATTTATTATCTCCTAAGAATTTATTTACTCTATCTATTGTCAGCTTTTTTCATTCTTTTTTGGAGTCGTTTTTTTTACAGTTGCTATTCTGATACACCTACTACTAGAAATCAAACTTTGGCATTTTAATAACACAACAGCCAGAATAACTTCTATATATGATATTAACAATAAATTATACCCTTTGAACACTTAATTCAATGTTGTAACAAAACATTTTGAAAACACGTTGGCATTAGACTAAGAACTTCAAACTTGCATCTACATGAAACTGTGCAGACATCACAGTAAGTTGAAGTTTACTAAACTACCCTTGGCACAAATTAAGTTTTGAGACTTGAGTTTGGATTATCGATATACCAACTTGAGCATACAACTGCTGAAGTACAGCATTCGTCTGGAGTGGCATTGATATCTCTGGGTCTGTTTTGTATAATAGTAGATTAATCTATAGTGTTCAAATTTACATTTGAATTTGTAACAGCACACAACTACAATGTTCCCAGCCTGTATACCATAGAAGCAAGCAAATGCAAGTAAATATCCTACATATGTACCTTCCCTTAGACCTGTGAGGTTTTTCAGTAACTAGTGAAGAAACTTCTTTGGTAATTTGAGCGATGATGCTTGAAAGTATGAACGAGAATTTGGCATAGCCTCTATTTCATACCATTCATTTCTTTTGATATCAAAACATTCCACTGCTTTCACAAAATCTGTTTCACTTTCTCCTCCAAACAAGTAAACAATGTTATTTATACTCACAGCCCCACAAACAGCTCGAGGAATACCAGGACTAGACACCAGGTTCCACTGATTTGTATTTGGATCAAAGATTTCACAGGAAGGTTCTATTGTTTCATCTATCATGCCACAAAATCCTCCAGCAACAACAATCTTATCACAAACCGTTGCTACAGCAGCAT